TGTGCTTGTTTCGGGTAACACCCCGAGGGAAGGAGCCGGACGAGGCCTGCCGCCTCCTGGCTTCGCGCCCTCGCGTCTGGGCACCTCTGCTGCTTGGCACGCGCCAGCAGGCCTGCCTGCCGCCCTGAGCGCTGCGGAGCGCGCGGGGACAGGCGGGGGGCAGTGTGCGCCCCGTTAGTGCCTGGTCCTCTGGAAACAGCGGTCAGAGAAACTGAATGCTCTCCCATTTTCCTAAGCTCCCCCACGAACAAGCTGGCTGTGAACTCCACAGCGCTGAGAGCCGATGGTGTAACCTTGTAGAAAGACCTTCCGAGAAAACAGCAGTGACTAGGGCACCTCCTCTGTCCTGGCTTTCCAGGCCTGGGCGGCCTGTGGCACCAGGTTCCCGCATCGCGGGCCGGAGGAGGGGCGGCCAGGCCAGCCGCGGAGGTCAAGTCCTTACGGGGCTCGGCCCGGGCTCCGCCGGTCTTGGAGCCCTCCGCAAACTTGTAAGATTTTTTCTCCATGCTCTTTCCGCTTCAGAGCCTGTTTTTAATTTCAGTAGCGGATCTCGGCCTTCTCTCTCCTCCTCCAGAGAGGCCGTCACTGCCCGCTACTGCCCGCCAGCCTCATCAGCCGGGCGCTCCCGGAGGCACACTGCCTCGCTGGCTCCAGGCGCGCAGCCTCGAGGGCAGCAAGAACCACCGGCCACTTCGCTAGCGCCAGGGCGGTGGGAGCCCGCCCCACCCGCGAGGCGGCCGGGAGAGCCAGCACCTTGCGCTTTCTGCGGGAGACGCCGAGGGGGGCCCAGAGCGGGAGCGGCCGCGGCGGGCTGGCCTGCTCTGTCTTTCGAGCGAGGCCTGGTACTCTAACTCGTTTCTATAGAAATAGCGGGAAGTGGTGATGCCCTGGCGGCGCACAAGCGGCACTTCCTGGGCCAGCAGCACCTGCCCGGCCACCATGGCCACCAGGAGGCTGAGGGTGTGGCCTCGACCATCCGCACCAGAACCCGCTCCTCTCGCCAGCTTTGGTGCCCGCCTGTGAAAGTCCCGCGCTAATTTTAGAACATAATCCATAGACATTTACTTTCACATTAGCTTTTGTACAGGGGAAGCAGACCAAGGGTTGGAAGCCAAGATTAGAGCAGAGAGGGGGAGGGGAGGGAAATAAGATACATTATGTTCGTGTGCTAGCTGCCCACCTACTTGAATCACTGTGTACTGCAAACATGTAGGAAGCATTAGCTGAATTTCATTGGGGGAGGTCAGTCAGATTTTAAAATACCTTCCCTTCTATTTGGCAGAATCTGCTCGGATTCTGGCACTGAGTTAGGAGTAGTAGTCTGGGGACGTATGAGGTTTCAAGTTTCCTTCTTGTTCTAGCTCTCGTGGATTCTTTAGTGGAAGGCTGGGGAGGATACCCAGGAAACTAGCCACGCACCACTTTAAAGCAGAAATCTGTTCAGTGACTAATAAATAATTGGATTTGAAGGTGTAATTTATGGGTCTTAGTGCTGCTCAGGGGAACACATTCAGCCTGGTACCTTATTCATACCCATTCCTGACACTTTGAATTGATACATGTGTCAAACATCAGTACATGCTTGATTTTTGTATGTGTACAGTTTAAAGGTGTATTCACCATACAGGGCTGAGGCACGTTCTACCACCCGTCTGTGGCTTTTCATCAGACTAAACTAGAGCAGAGATCTTGCTACTTTTATTTAATTCTAACTTTAGCCCTTTTATGATAATCAAATGTCAATTGCCCAAGATCAAGAAAGGAAAAGTACTATACTGTGTGCCTAGGGGTTTTCGAAATAAAAGGTTGCATAATTTATATTTTTAATATAAGTGATTTAGAGCCTGAGGCCTCAATACAATTAAGTAGAAAATCAAATCAGTAGGAGATTAAATGAAGACGGAATGAGGGAAAGTCTGGCTGGCTCTTCCTTTTCTAAAGAAGGCTTCTTGGGGTTCAGTGGCTCCCAACCTTAAAAATACTGACCCCCAGGCTTCATCCTCAAGATTTCAGGTTAATTCATCTGTTGATAAGCCTGGGTCTCAGGAATTTAAAAGTCCATGCACTGGATTTTAATATACAGTTGTCGTTAAAAATGATGTTCTTAATTCTCATTGAGATAAATGTCACCTCCAAGACTAGTTTTAAAACTAGATTTCAGGGTTCTCCTCAATAGCCCCCAGGAGCATGGGCTGCTGTAGGGATCAGGAATCTGCGTTCCTAGCAAATGTTCATGTGATTCCAGTGGGAGTGATTCCTGCTCTACACAAAGCTCTAGGAATAACTTCTTAAAAATATGTATCCCTTCTCAATTTCAAACACTCACTGGCTTCCCACTGTCTCCAAAATGTTCTTCGGTGAGGCTTCCAAGACGCCCTCACTCCAGCCTTTATCCGTCTTCGTGCCCTTCCGAGGCTTCCCACTCCCGCCCCTCCTGCTTGTACCTCCATCCATTTTTATTGTTGTGCTTTTTGAGACACGGCTTTGCTATGTATTCCAGGTGAGCCTTCAACTCACTGTGTATCCCAGGCTGACCTCAAACCCATGATCTTCTTGTCTCCATCTCCCAGTGCTGGGCTCACAAGCACTTGGCCCCACATCTGGTGCACGTTGCATCCTTTCCTGAATTCACTTCTGCCTTCCCTCAGAGGCTTTGCTTAAACAATTACCATCTCCAAAGGCTTTTCGTACCTTTTACCCACAAAAATTCCGTTCTCTGGTAGCTAGAATGCCATGAAACTTTGATCTTTCCCAAGCAGAGTCATGCATACCTTCCTCTGTGTGCCCACTGTGATTGATCTGTAGCTAGCTCTCATGTAGTTTGGTTTTATTGATCCTGAGCTGTGGAAAGCTGTGTTCAAACTACTTTGTGTATAGCTCATTATCATCATTAGCTTCTGCCAGGCCCCTCTAATACGTTTGAACATTATCCATAAATATTCATGGAGCCTCCTAAAATACATTATGTCTCATGTGCAGATGCTTTTAATTTACATAAATGATTTTGTGCTACAAACTTTACTCTTTTTTTAATAACACATTTTTCATGATCCATCTATATTACTGAAATTAAATCGAATTCATTACTTCTACCTGCTACCACTACATTTTATGTACCTGTTACCTCTTAGGGAATGTCTAATTTGCTACCAACTCACGACCATCACAAGAGGCCACATGAAATATCCTCTTAGATGGACCCTGGTGGCTCTGTATGTGGACTTTTCTGAAATACAGCCGAAGAATGAGATTGCTTCGTGACAGGACGTGAACTCTCTTGGTTTTTCCAGACGCTGCCTGAACGCTCTGAGGCTGCGCAGTCGCGCCTTTCCTTTGGTCTCGGCTCTTTGCCGTCTACAGTGCGGGCGTCCTGGGGTGGGAAGTGGGGGAGTCACCCAAGTGATTTTTTCGAACCTAAGAACTTAGAGATAGTAAAAGGTAAGTCAGGATCTTAAGGTTGTGATTCAAGAAAACCTTGAAGGTATTTTTCTGTGCCCCCAAACAATGTATATGGAATTTACTTACTTAGTAAAGAGATCTCCAATGATATTTTACAAACTAAAAGCAATAATGGATTTTTTATGAGTGTAAATGAGAGGTCTGTTCGGTCCTAAGAAGAAGTGTTCAGAAAATATGATGACTACGGCTTGATTAGGGCAGTTGTGTGGTCTTGAATGACTCCAGGCGCTCGTGTGGAGATTTTTGCTGTTGGGAAAACAGACTTCAAAAGTCAACTCACAAATCTAAAAAATTTAGAGGGGAGAAAATATATTGGTGAGGAAATTGCCATGAGAAATTGAGATCTTTGAGAATAGCAAGAAAAAATAATCTTGTGTGCTTAATACATTTTGAGAACTTATTACACAGCAAGTACTCTAAGCAATGTAGTATAAACACTACTAATCAGCGTTAATCCTATGAAGTAGATACTGCTTTTATCATCCCTTTTAAAAGATGAAAACATGAAGGCTTACAAAATTTAAAGAATTTGCCCACAGTTATACAAGCATTAAATAGCAAAGCCAGAATTTGAACCTAGTGTTTTGTTGTTGCTTTGTTTTAAATTCCAGATTTCTAGGTAATAACAAGTACAGGGGAAAATAAAACAAAACACAGGTTTTAAGTCAGGCATATCAGGTTAAAATTTTTGCTTTTTCTCTCATTGAGCAGCTATATGGCACTGAGTGAATAATTAAATCTTCTGGAGCCTTACTTTTGGTACTTATGGGAATCTATTTTTTATAACACTGTGAGTATAATCAAGCACAATGTGTGACATATTAGATGTGTAGTAACTGTTACTTCCTTTATTAAATCTGTCCCCCCTCTGGCAGAGATTAGACATTTATATATTTGTTGAATAAATGTAATAAGTGATTTAGAATTTTCATTTACTGCCTGAAGTTTCACCTGTATCAGTTTGGTAGGACAAAGATCTGAGAGGGTGGGAGGATGTATTTCCGAGGAAAGGACCCTTGCAAGATTGCTTTGACAAGCCAGTGACAAACCTGATCTGTTTTTCATTGCCCTCAGACTGCCTTGGCTGCTGTCCCTTCTAAGCACAGTCAGAGTTATCTGACTGATCTCCAGAAATGGAGAAGCAAAGATACCAATGAAGCAACCAGATACAAGCTCATTTGCCTCCTTCCCAGGCCTCATGCAGGGTGTGTTGTGGGTTCATACAGCTATAAACCAATGCAAAGTCTCCCAGGGAACTGCTGGAGAGGAAATTAATTAACCCCTGCCATGGTTTCCCAGTGGGGGGCCGGGAATTAAGCTGTCATTCCTCCTGGATGCTTGGATCAGCCCCACTCCGGCTGGCTTAGACTGAATGAGCAGCTCATCTGAGCTCTCCTCCCTGCTGCCTTTAGACTGAACATGCTGCTCTGAGCAGGTAGGATGGACATTCCCTCTCACAGGCAGACTGCACAGCCACTGGCACTTATTTCTAGGGTGGGACACTCAAGAGAAATGTTTTCCAGGGGGCTCAGAATCAGCTACCCATAGCTAAAGTAATGCGATTTGCAGAGACTTTGAGAATGTAGCGTTAGCTGTGGACACCAAGGAAACTGCTCAGCGTTTGGAATTCTCTGGCATCTACACCATTGTTAGCTCTCCAAAGGGAGGCTCATGCCATGTGAAATTCAAAGCTGTTGAGAGCTCCACTTTTAATAAGATCTTTCAAAGGGAATAGCTCAAGTGGGCCATCAGAATCATAATGTCAGATGGATTTCACGGTCTAGACAGATCTGACGTTGCCTTCTAAGTTTTTTTTCTTTTCAGATTTCCCCACAAACCAACAGTAATAAAAAAAAGTTCTTCTGGGAAGGTATTGATTTATTAATAGAAGCTACTGGTTTTCTGCATTGACGGCTCTAGGGACTTTCTCCGCGTGGTTGATGACTGCCTTTCTCCAGCAAGGCTTCCAGAGCTCCCAGCAGTCAATTTATCAACATAGGATGACAACTTCATTGTTGTTCTTTGAAAACTTTGGCTCTAAAGGACTTCTTGGGATTTTAGCTTACGAAGATGCCTTTGGGAGAGTATTCTTGTATGGAGTAGTAAATCCGCTTGACAAATGTTGGACCTTTTGAAACTCAAGACAGAATCAACTCATTGGTTCCCCTACCCGCCAAGTGAGTATGTTCTTTTCTGGAACTTCTAAGAGCCACTCAGCTGGAAATAAAACCTTTCTATCAGTTGTGGACTGTGGGAGTTTAGCTTTGGTAACCTGGATGTTATCACATTCCCCAGGACTGTGTAAAGGAATTCACATCAGTATGTGTAACTCAGCTTTCTTATTTGAAGTAGTTTTCCAAAGCTGCTGAAACAAATTGCTTCGAGTTTGGTGGCTTCAAACAACATGTGTTTATTCTCTCACAGTGCCGAAGTCTAGAAGCCCTTGTGCTGGGCTGCAGTCAGTACCCGCTGGGTTGGTTCCTTCGGGGGTTCTGGGGACTTTTCCTCACTTTTTCCGGTTTCTGGAGACTGTCTTCATGCCTTCACACACGGGCTCTGCTCCCATCATTCTAACTCTGCCTCTGCTCTCATTTCTCCTGCTCTTTGGACTCTAGCCTTCCTGCGTCCCTCTTTAAGGACTACTGTGAATACATCAGGTGCACTTAAATAATTTAGAAGAAACTCCCCACTTCAAGATCCTTAATGTAATAACAAATTAATGCTCCCAGATTTTGGGGATCAGAATGTGGACATAGTAGGGGCCTACTGTGCGTACCACATGGCTCTTGCTCCCATTTGCTCATGCTGGACCTTTTCCTCCTGCAGTTATCCCTGAGGTGCTGTTTGGAGTCTGATGCATGCTCCCCCACACCCCGCCGCCGCCGCCGCCGCCGCCGCCGCCGTGCCTACCACAGACTCCCCTGAGGCCAGCCCACTCCTCAGAACCTGAGCTGAGGATGACACTAGCAATGCTAGACGCCAGGAAAAGTGGAGACTGGTATCTCTGCTTCCGGACTGTTCATCATGTGGGCCCACCAACAGTGTGGTAGGAATTCTCTGTGCCCCCTGGAGAACAGCTTCTGGCTCTAACCCTCCTTTACCAAGAAAACCAATCCAAGAGGCCAAGTGGGCAGAAGGCATAGTGCGAAGCCCTGGCTGTGCCAGGCAGCATGTTTTGCTGGGATGCAGAAGTGAAAGGCAGCGTCACCCCCTCGGGTTCCTTCCAGTCTGCCTGTTCAGGCAGGCTTCTCGCTTTTTGGTGAGCAGGGCAGTCACCTGAGATCTTGTTAACATAACATGTCAGAGTCAGTGAGCCCGAGATGGGCCTGGAGTTTCTGCCTTTCTAAGACATCAAGCAACAACAGTTTAGAGTGGGCTGACCACCCACGGGTGGTTAACATGGTGTTGTCTAAGTGCTTTACCAAAACTTCACATGCATTTCTTGCTGTGGTTGGGAGAAGGAGAGGGAATGATTCCTAAAGGAAAGGACCACTGGATGGTCTTCAAGCTTGTGTGAAAGTGTTCCAGGCAAGGGACTGAGGAGAAAGAACGCAGGGAGAGACAGTAGCCCATGCAAGGGGTGGAGAGAGGGAAGATCTAGAACAGCAAGAATATAAACATGCCTCAGCATACAGCGTCAGGACAGTGGGTGCTGGGAAGTTGGGTTGTTGATTCCACGGAGTGTGCAGTGGGGGATGAGGGAAGGGAGAAAATGCAGGCAGAGTCATAGAGACAGACTTGGGATGTAGTTGCCAAAAGAAAACTGTAGTCTTGCTGGTGGTGGTAGTCCTCGCAAAGTCATGCAAAGTGAATAAAAATAATTATTCTTGAATAAATATTCTATCATTATATTTAATCTTGTGTGATATTATGAGCTAGGCATTGTCCACCCTCCCCCACTCACCCCAGGTAAGAACACTAAGTCTCAGAGAGGTACTTTCATTTCCCAAGGTCATGCGGTTGAGAATTGTAGAATCTAGGACTTGAACTCAGGACTGGTTCTAAAGCTGACTTTACAGAACCACCTGGACCAATAGCAAAAGGAGAGTTTAGTTCACATAAGTAGATAGCACAGGATAAGGTCCATAAGAGTAGTCAATAGGAGAAAATGCAGGTATAGAGTTTGGGAAACTGAGGTTGGCAGTCCAGGTGGCTTCAGGCCATGTCACAAATGTACTTGTGATTTATATCATATTTTCTTTATCCATTCATCCGTCAACAAACACTTAGGTCCATTCCCTGTCTTGGCTATTGTGAATAAAGCTGCAAGGAGCACAGGAGTGCACGTGACTCTTGGATGTGCTGATTTCATTTCCTTGGGGTGTATGTTCAGTAATGGAATTGCTGGATCTTGTGGTGGTTCCGTTTTTGCTTTTTGGAGGAACCTTCACACTGTTTCCCCTAATGGCTGCCCTAGTTTACAGTCCCACCAACTTTGTGCAAGTGTCCCATTGTCTCACATCCTTGACAACAGATCTCTTGTCTATTTCGATAATAGTCATTTTGATGCATGTGAAGTGAACCTCATTGCGGTTTTTTGCTGGTCATTTTTGATGTTACGGATTTTTCATGTACCTATTGATCATTAGTATGTTCTATTTTGAAAAATGTATATATCCATATAAGAGAAACTGCAAATATGTACCATACTAAGAAAAATATAGAACTGTAAGTCAAGAAATATATATCCAAATCTTTTGTCCATTCCATTTAAAAATATGGTTAATTTTTTCTTGCTTTTGGTCATTTAAATTATATAACTTGTATGTTAGCCCCTTGTCAGATGTATGGCCTGCAAACATTTTCTTTCACTCTGCGGTCATGTTCCTCTGCATCACTTTGTTGCTGTTTCCTTTGATGGGCAGCTTTCTCGTGTGATTGGCTGAATCATCTCTAATAGCACCCACTGATGCAAGTATTCCTAAGCTTGCGTTCTGAAAACCACTGTCTTACACTCTTGTCCTTACACTGAGGCCATTTGACTCTTTCTCTTGCTCTTTCATGCCCGCCTCTAGCTCACAGGCCCATGTTGACCCTAGATATGTTTTCAGTCTGTGGTTTCACCACAATAGATTCTCTTCACCTTTGGAAGCATCCTCCAAGTCATGCATTCTTAAAGACCCAGAGCAAATGCATGATCTTTACGAGTCTGTTTCTGCTCATATTATCTCTGAGGTAAGGCAGGTCTGCTACATGTTAAGGGTATCCCATGAACAAGAGCTTCTGTTGTGAAAGATACTGGAAAGCAGCAGTTATTCAAAATTAAACAGGTCACTTTTCTACCACTTTCTCAGTGCCTTCAATAGCTTCCACGAGCAGCATTCCTGATGTTCCTGTGGAGAATTCTTGGGATACAGTGTTTCAGTCCAGGCACACCTCAGCGTTTCTGAACAACTTCCTTATGTCTATGATCATTGATGCAAAAGGTGACATTTATATTAGCACTGGTCTCTTTCCAGTTGTGCCAAATGCTACTTGAGGCCATGAATCAGATATCATACTTAGTCTTCTCTATCCCTCGTCCTTTCACTTACCATCAGCCTGATCACAAAATGCTCCAATGAGGGTGAGTTTCTTTCCCCACACCAGCTATGAGTTACTCAGGTGAACCTGGATTTTCTGTTCAACCCAACATTGTATTCTCTGTGAGGAGAAGGTAACTTTTTAAACACGGCATTTAAAAAAAATTTCCTGTTTTATCTTCATAGAAAGAGAATTGAATTATTACACTCTTTGTAAAACAACCTTAAGAGAAACACTTGCCTCATTAAAGAGATCTTAGAATATCCAGACAAGAAGATTGAGATTGTTCATTGTTAAGATTTGAGTTATTACTTTCTTTCCTTTTCTGCTTTAATCTTATACACTAAAATAAATCCATTTCTTTTCTACCAAGCTTCTTCATGTGCCCAGCAGAGCAGGGTGGCAGGGGTGCTGCAAGCACTTCCAACTTCCCTGCCCACACCAACCAGGTCCAGCGTGGTCTGCTGCCTGCCGCCCAGTCAGGCAGTATCCTACTCAGTGTGGGCTCCAGTTTGCTACCTGGAGCACTCTGTCTCTCTCAACTGCCAAGGAATTTTCTGCATGAGATCTCTCTGAAGATAATTTCTATTTGACATAAACACATCCTAAAGGCAGCAGGAGGAGCTTATGACCCAAACCAGCTGCTGCCAAAGAAGAGCACCACTCCCAAGAAGACTGTCAGTGGCACAATGGCCCGAGCCCCACACAAGCGGAAGCTAATTCAGGGCAAGTCTGCGACACAGCGAAGGAGCTCACGTGTGGCGGCCTTGTGTTGTTACAAGAAAACTAAGAGAAGCAGAGCTCCTAACTTGTCATTTGTCCTCTCTTCTGTACTAAGGAACAGCTTATGTTCATATTGGAGAGGAGCGAATAAATCATTGTGCCTGGGAAGCTCATGTGCTTCTCTTGTTGTAGGAAAAGGAGAGCAGATTAGCTGAAGACAACAGAATGGTGATCATTATGTTCAAATCTCTAGGCTCTGATTACTAAGGTCTCCAGAAGCGTAAGGAGCAGTGAATGTGATCATGGAAGCGTGCCAACAATTTCCATGCACTCATGGAGACCTGCAGAGGTGACGGAAGAACCTTGCTTCCAGGAAAAACAGGAAAGACAACCGATTTCTGGAATGACCCTTGGCAGCATTTTTGAATGAATTTAAAGAATAAATGATTTATAAATACTTGGAGAGTTAAATGATGATCACTGGAAATCAGTATGGATTTACAGCAAAGATGTATTCCAAACCCACCATTCCTTTTTAAAATAATGAGATTTAAGTAAAATCCATCCATATATCAAGAAATAATAACCAATATCTGCATAGTGATTAATATTGACCACATATGTGACTTCAATTGATTCTCATATCTTCATACCAGTTCTCTGAGCTAGATATTATTGAATTTGACCTTTATTTTTACTTAAAATAAAAAACTTGGAAATCTTAGAAAAATTCAGAAATTTATATAATCTTCCTAGTAAATTGTAGAATTTAAAGAGAATTTTTCTGAGTCCACGGCCTAGAGTTCTTTCCTATACCACATTTCTCCATATGTTGATTTCGCATCCTGGAAATGACTAAAATCTTTATTATTATTACTATTTCAATACATTTTATTTTAATTGGCACATAGCAATTATACATATTTATGGAGTACAGGCCAACGTTTCAATACATGGATACGAAGTGCGGTATCAGATCAGGATAACTGATTATTAGCATCCATCGCAAAATGAATATGTCATTTCTTCGTGCTGGTTTTCTATGTGCCAGCTTTTTTGAAATATGCAGTTAGCTGTTGTTAACAGCAGCTATCTTGTGGCGTCATAGAACATTATAAATTGCTCCTTTATCCAACCTGTACCCGTTAGCCATCCTGTTTCCACCTCTCCCTCCTCCACACCCTTCCCGAGCTCTGGTGACCACCATTCTACCAAAGTTTTAGCTTTCACATGTAAGTTGGGACATGTGTTATTTATCCTTCTGTTTCAGACTTCTTTCACCTAACCCAGTGCCCTTCAGTTCTATCCGTGTTGCCACAAATGACAGGATTTCATGCTTTTTTATCCTTTAATGTGGCCGGAATCTGTACTGATAGAGATAGCCTCATGGTGCGTATGAACACCATCTAGCCCATCTAATTTCATGAGCTGATTTTTTCCTAGTGAATTTAAGTGTTATTCTTTGCCTCTCGCTGTCTCTTTTCACTTTCAGGATCTTTCCTCTTTCTTCTTTTCCTCTGTTTTTTTTTTTTTTTCCTCTTTCTTCTTTTCCTCTGTTTTTTTTTTTTTTATTGTTTTTTGTTTGTTTGTTTGTTTTACAGGACATCCATGCACAGAGGGAAGCTTCAGAAACAACATCATGACCCCAGGAGGAGGGCTCAGCAGTCTCTGTATCTCTGTTGGTGACAAAATGGGTCCATCTGGCTGCTGAGCATGGACCAGCATGTGCTGATTGAAAATCCTATGACAGTCTTCTGTTGGGATGACCTCCTGTTCTGGGCCTTCTGGTATGTATACAAAGCCACTTGCTTCATTCTCTTTCCCTCATATGGGAGCACGTGTGACTTCTCCATAGCTGGTGTACTCTGCTCAGGATGTAGCAAATGGGTTGCACTACCTCTGAACCATTGTCCTAAAAATATTTGACCACACTCTACCAACAGCAAATCTCTGAATGGTCACTTTCAAGGCAAGCCAGACACAAATGTCCTGGGATTCAAGATTTTTCTACCTACTCAGGATTTCAATTATCTCCTCTTCAAACTGTCCCTCAAACTTGAGCCTCTAAATTGAGATATTAGAAAATTTGGTGGGACATAGAAGAGTAGGGGTAATCACAATCCATTCTCTTCACCTAGCTGAAGGCCTGCTGTATGAAAGGGACTTTCTGTAACTCATTGAAGGAAACTCCGTAAGTGATAGAAATGTCATTTTGGAACAGGTCTGTCTAACCTCAAAGCTTCAGGTGTCATAGTAGTGTGGTGCTCAGTGAGTCGTGTTACACTGAGCATCTTTCTAGGTGTTTGGTTTGAGAACACACCTGCTGGCTTGCCTGAGCTTGCTTTAGAAGCCCAGAGCGTTATCCTCTTGCTGGAGAACTCATCTGTGCCTGACCTTTCTCCTGGTGCTCACATCACATAAAAGGGTCCTGGAACTATCAACTGTCTCTCTGTCACGAATGATTCAATGTCCATGTCTCCAAGTGTCAAGAGCAAACCTTGTTACCCATACTGAAAAGGTACAGGCAGAGTTGATGTGACACAGGCTGGGGAAGCTCTGCTAATCTGGATATCTTCTACTCTTCATCAGCAGCTTCTAATGTGGAGTTTGCCATTTTGCAAAGGATGGCAGCGGAGAGGGAGTGTGCTCCTGAGAGGTGAGGTGGGGAAGATGGAAGGAGGAAACCCACAGTTAGCATTTGTCTCATTAAAATCTGTCAAAGTCGGAGGAACAGAAGGCAGCAAAAGCTAAAATCAGATGTCACTAGCTTTCAGAATATGTTGACATGTGGAGGGAGCAAGCTGTGGCGACAATGTGCTTTTCAGCAGCCTTAACTCCCAGCTGGGAATAATAAAGTCCTTTGCAGGCTTCATAGGGGACTCAGACAGCAGTCTAGCACCCAAGGACAGGAGGTGCAAAGGACAGTTGCAGCTGATGGGTGAAAGGACCTCACAATGACTTCCTGTCTTTGTAGAAGCAGTTTTTCTTTCCAAAATCAGGTTAGGAAAACCAGTGTGATTTTGTTTGTCAGTACTATGGAGCTGGTTTCACCTTGAGCAGTTCAATTCCTTTTACCTGTACTTGAAATATTTACACATATATTAAAGGGATAAGCACAAGCTTATCCATTCAGGCTGGTAGAGTAATTTACTTAGAGTGGATGAAATTGAATTGTTGGCTTGGGGTGGATGAAGTAGAATATCGGCTTGGGTAAATATAATGCACATCATGGAAAAGGTGCAGACACTGGAAGCACACAGGCAGGGGTTTGGATCCTGACTCTCATTACTGTGGCTCCTTGTGCAATTTATGTAATTGCTCAGTGACTCAGTTTCCCCAGCCAACAGAGATGTTTATTTCTCACCTTCAAGATTATTTTGAATGTTTATACAATAGTGAAAATGGGTATACTCATATGGCAGTTACTCAATAAATGCTACTTTTTTGTTTTGAATATTTTCTTCAGGTTTTAGAATCTATTTGACCTAATTATTAGTATTTTAGAATCTAACTTACTATTCACCTGTAGCATAAAGGATCGACTTAAGATTTGAAGCTACTGAAGAATAGAATTTGGTTCCCCAGTTTACATCTTAGTTTTGAGGTTCCAAACGTACCACCCACTTCCTCTCAAGACTTGGCCAGATTACACAGCCTGTGCACATCACTACCTGGAAAAAAAGGCATTGTGCCTGGCTGACCATTCTGACCTGAGCCTGTAGAGCAGGGATTCTTCTGTTGTAACAGAGAAAATGAGGTTGCTCTGAGGGGAGAAATACTTTACAGAAAGGAAATGAATATTTCCTTCTAGAGATGGTGAGCAGGTAAAAAGACAAAGTAAATATGGAAGTAAGTGTAAGGTTTTTCTTGGAGCAAATGAGAAAAAGAAAAATATAAGTAAAAAGAGCCTTTATTGTGGCAAGGGAAAGCTGCAGGAGAACGCAGAGGACCCTCTGAAAGAGGAGGCGGGGAGACAAAGAATTTATTGGGCTGGGCTGGGGGCGGAGTTTACATGGGTGGTCAGAGTGATGTAACGAACGCTGATTGGAGGAGTGTCCTGCATGTGAGCGCAAGGGAAACAGGAAGTTGGGGGGAAAGAGGGAGGCGGGAGTTAGTTTTTGAGCGACACGCTGGTTTGGGCCCTGACGCCACGCTGGTTTGCCCTCGTGATGGCTTGGCAAAATTTTGTATAGGCTGGAGCCCGGCAGTAAGATAGCTTTTGGTAACCATTTCAAAATTTGAAGACATGAATTCTGCTCTGATGAAGTCTCTGTTTATTTTGAAAAATATAAAGTTTAAGTTCACACATATATATTTAGCAAATGGCCTATATTATGAATAATAATAATAAGTAAAAGAAAAACAGTTCACAGCAATGAGTAAAAATAAACATCAATTAATGTAATACTTGTTATGAAATATATGGTCAAAATAATAATATTAATGGTTCATGATAGATGTTTCTATGAATTAGTGACCTTTTAAAATAGATTCATTTCTTTAAAGTAAATAAACTCTTTTCTTTGTTCTTGAACATATTGCATGGAATCCATTTAGCATCCAAAGGTGAGATTCTGGGCCCTTAAACAGAATGTCAGCTTGGCTCCCTTTCCCTTGATTAACGTGAGTGCGCTGCTGTTGCCGCCGCAAAGAACCAAATCAAACTGGTGAGGGCGGATGAATAGTGAAACCTGAGGTCAAAGAGCGCACGGGGTGGAGCAGCCGAGCTGCGGCTGGGCCGGCTCCCAGCCCGGCCTTGGGAACAGTGCGGCTGGAGACCGACACCACCGTGGCTGAAGTTCGCTCGCTCCGGCTCTTCTCTCTGCTTGCTGACTGGTATTTCACTGTATGTTGAATACAAGGTGGACAGCATGGCTGCTCTAGCACTTCCTCAGCTCACAGTCCAGGCTGCCACCACCCAGCAGGGGCTGACGCTCCTCTTTGCGTCTAGCTGAAGATATCAGGAAGGGCAATCGTGCTTCGACCAGCTTGGATTAGATGTTAAGCTCCCTAAACCCCACCGTCCCACCCCACCCTGGCCTACACTCACAACAGCCGCTGCCGGATGGAGTGGAGGAGGATTAAAGTATGTATGGTCCAGATAGTAATAGTTCTTAAAGGGGTGCCATCTTTTATGAGTTTTAACTTTGCCTCTTTTCTGAGTATCAGAGGGTCCGTGCTGAAGGGGCAACGCGGCAGAGCCACTCTACTTGGATTTTAATTCTGGATTTTTGAGCATTAATGTTTGACCTTGGGCAAGTAGTATAGCTTGTTTTTTTTACACTGAATGTATATTTTAATTATGAAACAAGAATCTGAACAAAACACTTTAAAATAATCTCAATTATTTGGCTGGCATCACATCATTGCAGGAGACAAATTTGACCTTAAGAAAAATTTAATTTTATGAAAAATTTAGGTTCGACAGTTTGTTCATATGGAAGTTAAAACGTGTTTAAAGAAGAATCTGGCAATAAAACCAACTTCTATCCTGAAATAAGTGTGTATACAAACAACATGAAATCCTGAGCTGAGTAGGTAGAAGTGACCTAGTCTGCAGTGAGCTTCCCTTTGCAGAGAGACCAGCGGGAGGGAAAGCACGGGGTGGGGCCGGCGAGAGTGAATGCTGTCAGAGGTCCTGCTGCAGGAGACGGGGGCTCTACCTGAGCCAGAACCTCTAACGTCTTGGGGGTTGGTGACAAAGTCACAGATGCAAGTATAATTTTGGCCTTAGTTTCCTCACTTGTAAAATGGGGGAAATGATACATACTTCATAAGATGCAGATGAAGATTCCATAAATTACTTCATCTAAAGCATTCTGCAAAGAGGGTCTAGTACACTGTGTTAATAAGCATTGTTCTTATTAAAATATATGTGGAAAATAGCTGCTAAGAAAGTTCTCCCTAATTTCCTCCACATCTCCATCCTCCGACCCACCTTCCACTTGAGATAAGGTGGAAAATTTGATGTATATTTCTCCAGATTTAAAAGCCTATCCTACTAAGTATATCCTTAGTAGGCTAATTTTTAGACTTTACATCTTGCACATTTGCAGTTTTAACACGTCTTTGTTTCTGCTTCAACACATCATAGACCAAGACTCATTATTTTTCTTAAACTAGTGAAGGAAAAATGAACGTGGAAGTGATTATTTATACATAAAGTGTACTTAAGGCCCATAGTCATCAATGTCCTCTACTGTCCTCATTTATATCCCTGGCTGAATTCTCAGAAATAAAATTTATGCATGCTCATCAGCGTCTCTGCTGGCACTTCACATCCGCAAGATAGTATATTGTGTCCCCAAGAAACTGCATTTCTGGACCCTCCCAGGGTTAATTTCTAGTGGAGGAGATTACAGGAAGGTATTTTAATGACTATGTTCCTGAAAGAGGTTTTCATTACTGTCTAAAACCTTTATTAACCTCTCTTTTTATACTTGAAATTTCAGTTATTTTAGGATTGATCTATAGGCTATTGATTGTTTCTCTGTGGTTATGATTTACTGCCTGACTGATCTAACTAAAATCACAGTTGTAATTTTATAAACATAAGTCATTTGACCTTTTCCAGTAAAATTAACTAAATCAGGAGGTATAATTATACTCAGAAACGACTCATTTGGAGAAGAATTAGAAGAAAAGATTCATTGTTCAATTTTCAGATTCTTTCTTGGTCACTTGATAAATGCAAGCTTCATGACATCCTATACTAGAAACACCACCAGAAGCCCAAAAAATAATCTAACTGCAGGGCCTCTGGGGTAAGAAGGAACAGCCTTGTGTC